AGACACATTATGGTACTGGTGACTTTCCCAGATTTCAACGTGGCAGAAACTTCGCAACAGCACCGGGCAAACAAACAGTATAAGTAATCAAGGTATGTATGCTTTATTAAAAATTAAGAAGAAAATGTTCTAAAAATCCTTCTATGAAACTGTTTGAGCTATGTACTTAAGGTTTGGTACTTAAATACTTTTTCGGTTGGTTCACAACCAAAAAAAAAAGTTTTAAAGGGTTGAATAACCACGTGACTTTGAAATAGCCGGTTCCACTAAATCGATTGTAACAAAACTTACACACTATGCAGAAACTCTGAAAGGATGATTACTTACCAGACTTGAGAAACCTAGTTCAAATGGATCAAAGTTATTAAAAAACTACTTTCTGGAGGATATCTTCAAATGGCTGTAACTCTTTAGTGAGGACAGTTTTCGAAACATGTTTGTCAAGCGAGTTCGTGTTAACTTTAAACAAAACAATCCCATTTTTTTAAACAAATACGATAATCTACTACATAAAGATTTTATGTGCATTTCTCAAGTCATTGTCAATTTGTAATCCTAAAAATATTGTTCTTTTGAGTTTCTTCTATTGCCTCATTTTTTGCTCTATTTAAATAACTGATATTTCCTTACGGACTAAATGTAATAAAGGCAATTCTATATTTTTGAAATAATTAAAGTAAAAGTAAATTATAAATTTGTTTAATTATAACTGAGTAACTGATTAAGTTTTGTATGTTATATATTCATAACTAAATATATTTAAGTTTTAATTATCCAGTCATGCTGGGAAGATTACTTACGTATAAAAAAAACATCAGTGGGACGAGAATATCCTTATCCTTGGATAACACCATATTCTAGGTTTGGCTTGTTTTCTTTTATTATGCTTATTCCTGCCAATTCGGTTGTTGACTAATTTTAAAAAATGGTGAAATATAATAGTGGAGGAATTAATTTGCTGGTATGTTTAATTTGGAAAAAAATTATAACATATTTAAAACAAATTATTAAACCTCGACTATTTGAATGTGTCTCGAAAACGGTAATGACATCATATCGGTAGTTAGATATGAAATCATGTGCAGAACAGAAGAAGAAGAACAAGTTGTCAAAAAACAAGTTAACCTCATCTCTCATCTGTCAAAAGTTAATTGGACGTTTAAGTGTTGCTAGAAGCAGATCTGAGCAGTAATAGCATTAAAATATAATTTATTTGTGTCGGAGCAGATTATCTGATTTCGTTCATTTATTGTATTTAGCAATCTGTTTATAAATTAGTAAAATCACTGATTTTCTACTTGAGCAATAAAGTCAAAGCAGGAAACATAACCCCATTCATTAGGACAATTAAATTGTCTGAAAAATATCAAAATATTATTTTAAATGTGACTGGGGAATGTTACATCTGCAAGTTGAAAGTAGTTGAAATTTGTAAAGGAAAAATACATTTAGTTTACATTTCTATTTTATAAATATGTATTGTCTATTAATAGTGACTAATGATTTTCTTCTCTATCCATAGCTCTGTTCAAAAACTCTACACTAGCTACACCATCGCTATAAATTATTGCACTTGGATCAATTATTCGGTGTTCAAAAAACTTAAGTGTAGCTGTATTTACCATGTCAAAAATATTCTCTGTTCAATATTTCTAGTGTAGTGTAGATGTTGTTACATTTTTACCCCAGCTTGATAGCTAGAGTAATAGTGTAATGTAGATGTGCGTACCAATTTAAGGTTACTCTATTAATTCATAACATGACATTTCTATTCTGACAACACAACAAATAAGTTTTCTTACATGGTTTTAGAAATAGGACGCGTTTGATAATTTTCGACATTTATTTCTCCGTGCATTCATATATTGGATTTTAAGATGCAGAATTCAGGTAGTGAAGTAACTGAGGTGCATTTACTTTACAACCGAGATGGTGAAATAGTACTGGACGAAAACGGATACTACTTGTTTGCAGTTAGAGGTAAGTTTGATGGTGCAGTTACAATCCATATATGAATGATGACGTTCTGTTAAAGTAATTATTTATTTTGTTCCACAATTTATGGCAGTACTTAATATGGTGCTACATACATACAGTGCCATAAGAGTAGAACGACCAGGCGTTTCCATTTATAAAAGAAAGAAAATGCTGCCTATAATATCCTATTCTAAATACCCTGTAAATTTTTTCTAACAAAGACACACTTAAATACGATTTATTACTCAAACCAGAACATAAGAAAGTATTGAAATATGCACCGGAGGAGAAATCTATTCTTTACACTAGAGTTTTGTTTAAAAACCAGCATATATTTGGGTTCTGCACCGACCATTCTTTCTGTTAACTATATCTTCCTGTAGCTTCATGTTGAAACGTATGTTATATATAAGCTTTCTTCTTACGTTTGTATATAGAATTCCTGTTGTTAGCAAATGAAGTAAAGTAATAATCTGTTGTCATTTTAAATAACATTACTGTTATTATTATTTTATTATATATTCACAGAAATTTTATTCCAAGAAATAAAACTAAATTTAAATCTAAACAGATTTATCCAGAAATTGCTTGGCTTTAATATAGTACGAAAGAGTTTATTATTTTCCACTTAATTTATTTTCTACTTTACAGAGTCTAAATTACTGAATAATTAACCTACTATCCTTTTTATATTTTCCGTAAGGCATTGTGCTGCCAAATAAAGAACACTAATTACCCTTTTGCTGCAACATTCAGGAAATAACGGTGTATTATTTATGATATGCAACAAGCTTTAATAAATTGAAAAGATTAAGATTAATGAAATAAATAAATGAAAACAGTTTAGCTTGAACATATTCTGATTTATTTAACAAAATAGTTTGAAAAACCTTTGTTAAAAATAATAAAATAATTGAAGATCATCTGAATAATAATAACACTATTCTCCAAGAAAATCTGTACAAAGTAATATTGGATTCACAAAAAAAGATGAATAAATACAGCTACCTAAGATAATTAAACCACCATAAGAGAGAAAGCATTCATTTTTCTACTGACAGCTACCTTCAGCGTGCTGAGCTGGGTGGGTCGTGAGTCATAAGTGCGTTAAACTTGGCGCCAGTTAGTCAGAATTCGGAATCCGACGACGACTGTGTGCGGCCGATTGTCTGGTAGCATCTTGGGGTCTTTATAGTGCTGAGCTCCTCCTGGTGTTGGCAGTCATTTTACCGTCCTGCTCTGCTATCACCAGAGTCCGGTCACAGTTTATTACTGTGGGCCTACATTGTGCTGAGCTGGACCCTCCGCAAATAATTACTGAACCAACCGTCACATCGAGCTCTGAATGTTTTCTCTACAGCAGCGTGTTGAGCTGGAGCAAATCTACAAGACGACTGACTGGACTACAAACAAATTACGAATAACAATACTATTATAAATAATAACATAAACACAAGATAAGAACTCGACGACGAGATTACACTACTAACACAAACAATTCAAAATACTAGAAACAAAACGACAAAACAAACAATACTCGGACCTAGACAAGATAGCCTGCCAACGGAACTTGCTAGTTTGATTAAATTCAAAAATAACATATGGCACAGATGGCAACGTCACAATAGACGCATCGACAAACGACGATTAACTGACTTACAAAACAATATTGAGGACAAATTAGCGAGTATCGTGATACAGAGTGGAACGATAAAATTCGAAAACTTTCTGTGAGAGATAATTCGCTATGGACAATAACTAAATTATTAAAATGCGACAAAAAGGATATACCGGCACTCATAACAAACGGACAAACGGAGATCAAAAATGTCCTAAAAACTCTCCCCAAACTTACAGCTCCCCGCCCAGATAACGTCCTCAATATCCTATATAAAAAACCACCTGAAAAGACAATCGTACAAATGACGCATATCATAAACTCGACGATTCGGCAGCAGTATTTCCCAACAGCGTGGAAAACCGCAATTATTGTTCCTTTTCTGAAACCAGGCAAGACTCCTTCCTCTCCTAAAAGCTGCCGCCCAATTTCGATATCTATAACCCTGGGCAAAATAGTGGAAAGAATTATTCACAAAAATCTAAATTCAATCTAAATAAAATTGAACTAATCCCTAACATTCAGTTGGGTTTCAGAGGACAAAATACCACGCTGTTGTTGTGCAGAGTAGTGCATGACATCTGTGGCTTTAATAAAAAAGCATAACACAAAAATGCTTTTGTTAGACATAGAAAAAGCGTTTGACACTATGTGGCATGAGGGTCTCTTGTCCAAATTACAAAACTTATACAAACTACTCATGTATTACATAACTTTCATTAAATCCTATTTAATAAATAGAGTTATTTATTTTTACCTTAAATTGCCTTAAGGTAAAAATAAATAACTCAACGTCTGATATATATGATATACGGGCGGGCGTACCGCAGGGCACGGTACTTTCGCCCACGTTATTCAACCTCTACCTCGCCCACCTCCCCATACATCCCCTGACCCAAACCATAATGTACGCGGACGACACGACTATTTACGCACAATTTTTTTCATGCTCAGACTGTGACGACAAAAATATGATACCACCTTGACATATTCATAAAATACTACGACAAATGGAAAATAACACTAAACGAGACAAGAACAGAGATCATTACATTTACAAAAAAATTTACGAACGTCAAGACATTCATCACTCACAATAATCAACAAAACTATTACGGAAAACAAAACTGTTAAATACCTAGGACTGACACTGGACCAACATTTCTCATTTAAACCCCTCATCACGAAAACAATAAACAATATATGCATGAACTTACGCAAACTTTATCCCCTCCTTGACAGATGCTTCCAACTAAATACTGACAACAAACTATTACTTTACAAGACTATACTGAGCCCAATAATGACATACGGCTGAGTCGCCGAGTCGTAATTATTACTACCTTAAATAAATGTTGTTTCTATTAATCTTTTGTGATTTTTCCATTGTTCTCTTCTGTTAATTTTATTCGTAGTCCAGTGGTAAGGACGCTTGTCTCTCACCCTGGAATCCCGGGTTCGATCCCCGGTCGAGGAGTTCGGATTTCTTCTAAACTAGAAATTAATCCTAGCATACTCGGACATTGGTTGTATGTTCATTGTCTCTAAATGTGTAGTCCTCCACGCACAAGGTACCTTAAGGTGCTTTCTGGGATTATATTACCTGTGGTGTGGTGTTTATAATTTCCCTTTCTGTCCTGTCATTTACAACCTTTAAATTATTTATTTATAATATTTTTCGCCGACCGTCCAGATCATTCCAAGTGTTTGGAACTAGTCTTAAAAAAAATCAGTTGAAATATTAAATTTTTTGAAGAGGATTTTAGTTTTTCTTTAGAATTATCTTGAGTTTCTCGGTTTATAAATTGTCTTAAGTTTAATCCAGGTCAAGACTTTTTTTTTAATAGCTTTGTTTTAGTCTTTCCATCAATTCTGTCATCGAATCAAGCGATGCCCACACATTCCTTCAAATAATAATAAAATTCAAATAATATAAATGTTTAAAAAATATGGAAATTGTCTTATCTGCAATTTGTTTATTAATTAATGTGTAATTTTCTAATTTACGCCAAATCATTTATATGAGTTCGCGTTCTTCTTTAACTTCATTAAACCAAAAAACGGCATTTAATTATGATTCCTGCTACCTTTCACCTGATTTTTTGTTAAATCAGCAAATTGGTTTCGAACCATTAAATTCTACTTTTCTTACAAACCGTTTAATTTTTTTTTTTGGTGCCCTATGTAATTTTTCAGTAGGAATGTGTAACTTTTTCCAAAAAACCGAATTCTTAATTTTGTGGCTCTCATATTATAAAAGATAGATTACTACCTGTTAGTTGATATTTTGGGTAACCAATGACATACATTTTTTTTAATATATACGTTTAAAATTGGAACACTAACGAAAAATTGGAGTGCCAAAATTAAATGAATAAATTAATGTCAAATGACTGGCGACTTCGCCATAATTTTAAATATTTTTCATATGCCTGATAATAATTTATTGCATTAATACATTGTTTTATGTTACATTTTGTATAATATATGCATATTTAAAGGGATTTGCTGTGGCACGTGGCTTGTAAATATAAAGAATTAATTTCATATTTGCTTAAAATTAAGTTGTGATATACCTACAAATAATTATTGTAGAATGTTGCAATATATTAAATTACTTCTGGAACTAATCTTAAAAATTCAATTTTTGCTACTTTTGCTGGCTTTTATAGACGTAAAGGCTTATAAGAATTTGTCCTGCATCATTTTAAATTGTTACGTACATTTGGTGTTAGTAGCAGAAAAGGGTATGCTCCGACTAAAATAAACTCAGTGGAGTCGGGGAGGTTCGGTTTTTGATGTTTGTTTGTTTATAGTATCTAGTTTTCAAATTATGTAAGGGCGCCAAGTGATTTAAAATACTCTATACATACCCAATGAACCAAAAAAAAATCACTAAATGAAGTGCCAAACTTACTTACAAAAATGAAACTCATGCATTGGTAAATATAAGGGTTTACTAACTAAATATACATATACACACAGAAATATATAAAGGTACCACCAGTAAATGTACCACCGAAAGCTATTCTTAAATATTAAACTAAAGTACACAAAAAAATACGACCTAGACTCTCGAGAGTACAACCCTCAGATATAGATCCCACCAATTTTAAATAGAATAAACCGGACTAGGGGACTTTATCTAAAAGGTTGTGACAGCATTAAAACCTGATACGGTATAGAGATAATACTTTCTGGGGTGAAATTGGTGGGTATTCAATTATAATTCACAAATAATTTTGGTAATAGGTCACGGCGGATATAGGTGAAAATGGGACGCACAACTGTGGTGCATATATTTAAAATGTTAGTAGTCTTTCTAAGTAACGCATAAAGAAATACAGCCACTATGTGGTACTTATCCTTTTCATCCCTTAGTCATAAGAGCCCTAGAGACAATCGGTAGTTTCGGTTCGTACTTTCCAATGCAATCAAACTGGTACAACTCCTAACCAAACGATTATAGTAAACAACCTCCTGTATATAAACATCCCACAATACACTTCCAACATAAAACAGCTTTAGCATTACCCATCAGCAGTTTTACTTTTTATTCAAAACTATGTTACCCTGCTAGAAAACGCCTGGTATAAAAACACCTAAAATTAGCAAAACAAAAATAACAAGACTGAAGTTTCGGACCAAAACACTCACCTCGGATACGATTAACCCTATGCAAACCCAGAGACGTTTTTTTTTCTGTACTCCTTCATTAAGACATTAATTCTCTTTTTTTTTCTAAGAGTTACGACGGTCAATTCTTCCAAACAATATCTAAGTACACCAAAAACGACTCGCTTTTTTCATATGTGACAATAGTGTAATATCCGTAAAAACGATATTTTATAGTAAAACTTCACTATGCACATTTATTCTCTTTTCCTCAAATCCGCTGGCGATTGAACACTATCAGCCCACCCGTACCGATAAGGTTTTTGCTATAATTTCTTCTACATAACTTTGCCTGAAAACTGATAGATGTCTCGACTTACATTAAAACTAATTTAAAAAATTATAAACACTTTTTTACTTGTCTAATTTTCACATTATTTGTTATTTTACAACTAGTTTCATCCTATTCGGACATTTTCAAGTAAACTAAATTATACACAGATTTTACTTTAATTTAAATATAAACTGACCTGAATAGAGGGATGGGTCACTTTATGGTTGATAATATATTTCAAATTTGTACACATGTTATGTTTTTAAATGTAGGGGTTTTTCCAAGTTAGTAAATTATATTATGGTGTGATTTTTATTAGCAGCAGTTTATCTGAATAAATTTAATAACGGAGAATTATTTAAATCTATTTGGTCGTTTAATATGTTGTAATTTTTATTCCTATTTAATTAATTAATTTCTAACACTTCTAATAAATTAAGTTTTTTACTTTTCCCACAAATATATAATATTTTAGGTTGATTGTCGTTAGTTATTGTATGACCAGAATCTGTTAGATATTTATAAAAGTTGGAATGTTGTTTTTGTGTGTGAATATGTTCTCTATATCTTACTCCGAACGATCTACCTGTCTGGCCTACATATGAGGCGTTACATTTTGGGCAATCTAACCGATATACACCACATTTTTTAGAGATATCAGTTTTTTGTTTTGCATTGAAAAGATATTTGCCTATATTTTTGTTAGAACTAAATTAAAACTAATATTTTATATGGAAGGATGTTTATAATAATTTACCTTTTACTTACCGTAATTTAAAATAATTACAAACTAACTTAAAAATACGTATCAAAATAAATAGAATAACGGATATTGCAAATTTTAATTTGACAGTGAATTTTTAAACTCGACTTATTTGTGAGAATATCAAAAAAAATTTGGGGAGTAATCGGAATACATTTAGAGTTTTGTGCCAAACTTGGTGGAAATAGGATGCTTTGATTTGACCACTTATTTAATTATTGAGGTAATTCATAGGTGAGGCATCGCGCTATCTTTTACAGACTTAGAGATGAAATTTTTACTATAGATGGAGCGTACATAACGGTCCCATTATTTTAATGTTGGCGAGATACCTTAGATAAAATCAAATCTACTCGTGTATTGAAAACATTTATATTTGCAAATATGAAATTATCAAATAATATTTATAGGAGTTATTTTGTATGAAAAGGTGCAAAGCAAGCATCATGTAATGCGATGTCACATTTGGTAGTTTGTAAGAAGATCATGGAGCACTTGCCACAAATTATTTTAGACTTCTTGTCGGTAGATCCTCTCTGAGTTATCGGGATAATCAAATGATTGATTTCATCAAATCTAAGATCCAAACTGACTTAACCTTTCAACAGTCTTGATTATTGTAGCCCTAGCCTTTTCAAAGTTGAAAGTACTTTTTAGAAAGATATTCTATAACAATTTTCCTACGTATATCCAGTAAAGAAACATTTTCATATTTATTGAAAAATTTTCCAAATATTTACTACAGCAATGTCTAATATTTGGGTAAGTAATGGCTACCACAAGTTTTTGGACCTTATTCTGGTTTTGTAAAGGGAAATTTATTTATCCAGCATATCTATTACACCCACGTGCGTTATATTGTTGTTATAAGCTCAGGCAATGGAACAGTGACAAACTTTCAACCGATTTTTAGAAAACTTACCCTAGTATTAGTAATGGTACTGTATCAGGGTATAACAAAAAAAGGTGCCATAAACTCAATGGCAGATTCTAGGCAACAAATAGTGACGATATGACTCAACTTACCTCTATGCGAAAATGCTTCCAAAAATGTTTATTGGCCTTTAAAGTCGAAAATAATGAATGAAAAATTTACTCTAACTCTGGAGTCCTTGTAAGATATCCTCTTTAAATTTGGTGCAATATAGCACTAGTAGTAGTTCAATATTTTAAGTAATTATGATCAGTTTATCTCGATTCAAAACACGAGAAGTGGGGGTCATGTGATTCATTTACCCCCACATTTTTTTTTATGGACACACCTATGGCAAAGAAATCTTAATTTTTTTGAAAATTTCAAGGAAAATTAAGATTAAAAATGTAAATCCTGCAATTTTGCATGTAATAAAATCTTTTAACCTTTCGATAACTTAATAACTTCAAACATATTATGTGAAGAAAATAGTTCATGGTATACCAAAATTTTCATAATAATTAATAATAATAATGTCTTATTCACAGACATGTCTTTTGCAAAATCTCAGATTTTGTATGTTTATTTTACTGATTAGTAAAAGGAAATAAGAGAAAATGTACAATAACTAGAGTAGGTGCGTTAGAAAACAATTGACAGTCGCTGATAGTAAACAATGTACCACTGTTTTGTTTATGTCAAATTGTTTACTCATTTCTTATTAATGCTTCTTAGTTGGTGCTCAATTTTCTAAAAAAATAAAATGGCAAATTACATTTTTGCAGAGATGAGTGATATGCATTTAGTATTAGGTAAGCTGGGATATTAAATAATTTAATTATGTATCATTAAA